GCTCTCTCCTGAGCATTTCCCACACGCTGGCCCTGCAGAAGCTACTCCATTTTCTCACAGCGTCCTTGGGAGTAGGAATTGTTTCCATTTTACAGATGAGGAAACTGAGACCTGGAGAAGTCACCCGACCCACCCAAGATCACATAACACTGTCCAGTAAACATGCATATGGTACACATCTGTCTGGTAGAAAATAGGAAGGGACAAAATTAAAAAAAAATAGGATAAATCGAAAATACAAAATAAGAAATAAGTTCAAATACAGTAGTCAAAATAAATGAAAGCAGGTTAAACTCGTCAATCAAAGGGAAGAGGCTCTCAGATGAGATTTGAAAATGGGGGCTGGGCTCTGCCTTTGCAGGTGGGGGTGTTCTTGCACCAGGTGCTGGTGGGTCTGGTGTGGGTGAGTCAGCGACTGGTGTGGCCCAAGGGACCAGCTTCTCACTGCACCTCGAATGCGCCGCAGCTGGTCGTGAGGGTGGGGCGGCGTGTCCACGTGTCTGGGCGAGGGCCGGAGCGCAGTGAGCTCTCCGCACCCCCAGGGCAGCAGCATCTCAGCTCCACACCCCCCGCTCTCCTCCAGGTCCCCTTTTTGCAGCCCTTGGTGCTCTTTTCAGCTTAGTTTTGGGTGGAATGAGGCTGAGCAGTGCTGGAGTCGGACAGACCAGCTTCCAGTCTTACCTGGTGACCACAGTCTTCCTCATCCTGAGCCTCTGTTTTCCTTCCCTGCAAATTGGGTTGTCCGTGTCTCCCTCCCAGAGGCCATCAGGCGGAAGGTGGAGCTGGACTGGGGCGTGGAGGATGATGAGTACCTGGATAAAGTCGAGACGAACATCAAGAAAGCCCTCCAGGAGCATCTGCCCGACGTGGTGGTGTACAACGCAGGCACCGACATCCTCGAGGGGGACCGCCTTGGGGGGCTGTCCATCAGCCCAGGGGTATGTCCTGACCGTGGGGGGTGGGAGAAGCTCTGCTCTGTGGACTCAGCAGCAGCAGGAAAGGTGGGCAGCCTGATGTTAGGGAGGAGAGGGGCTGGAGAACAACAATCTGGAGCAGAGCTAGACCGCAGCAGGACTTCCGGACAACACAAGGGTCCAGGCCTGAGTCAGCCCTCCCCATCCCCCTACAGGGCATTGTGAAGCGGGATGAACTGGTGTTCCAGATAGTCCGTGGCTGCCAGGTGCCCATCCTCATGGTGACCTCGGGCGGGTACCAGAAGCGTACAGCCCGCATCATTGCTGACTCCATCCTCAATTTGTATGGCCTGGGGCTCATCGGGCCTGAGTCACCCAGTGTCTCGGCACAGAACTCAGACACACCGCTGCTTCCCCTAGCAGTGCCCTGACCGCGCTGCCCTCTAAGAGTCTCCCTGCCTGCCTCTCGGTCCCGCCCACCCCCTTTGTGCTTTTTGTTTTCTAACCTCCTGGGGTGGTGGAGGCAGCCACCAGCGAGCATGGAGGGCAGGGCCATCCCTGACTGGGGGTCTGGAGCGGGCAACTCTCCACTCTTCCCCACTGGGTGCCCGAGGGCCTCTAGGCCCTCTGTGGGCAGGGGCTGAAGGCAGAGCCGGTGTCCCAGGAACCCCCCACATGGAGTCAGAGATCTAAGCAGGCCCGGGGAGGTGGGCAGTTTACTGAGAATGGGGGAGGATAGGTTAGGACCCAGGGCCATAGCAGTGGTGCCCAGGGCTTGCGGTGTTCTGGACTTTGGGAACAGCAGACCCAGGTCAGATCAAGGAAGCGTCCATCTGTACCCTGTTTGGGCCTCCCTCCTCTTCAGTCCTGCGATTTGCTTCACCCTCCTCCTTGCCCAGGGCGTGGGCGCTGGTCTGTGGGGAGGCGCTGCAGCCAGGCCTCCAGGTGGGCCCGGTTCCCGGCCAGCAGGCAGGAGCCCTGGGCCTGGATGTGAGGGCAGCTGGGACGGGGTACAGGTGGGTTCTCCCATCTGGGCTTCTCCCTCAATAAAGCAAGGTCTGGACACGCTTTCCTAGGGTGCTGAGGGGAGGGGAGGCCCGAGCTCCGCCACATCCCTGCCTGGACAGTGGTCTCACCTGTTTGGTGCAAGGGTCATGTGGGGGCGGAATTCTTAGCTATGGATGGGCTCTGCTGGAGCTCCCTGGGGACTGCTGACCCAGGTGGGAGGCGCACAGGGAGACCGGGATCCTGGAAGGCGGGGCTTCCTGGAGGGAGCGTAGAGGCTCTCCATCCTGGCGGGGTGGTTGTGAGGGCAGGGGCAGGGCCCTGGGCGGGGCTGTGGCCACCACTGGCCTCACCTGATGTGCCCAGGGCCCAAGTGGGCCTGACTGCTGGTCTTCTCTGCCCTACTCTGAAGGGGTTGTTCTGGGCCCTCCAGGAGGCAGGGTGGGGGGTCCCCTCGACCAGAGGTGGGGAGGTCGGGCAGGGAAAGTGGATCAGCTGAGGTGTCTCCACCCTCGATCAGCCCCCTGTGGGACTCATGTCCGTTACCATCTGGGGTGCTCCCAGTCTGCCTCTCGTTCTCTCCGCTGGAGCCGAGAGGGTCCCAAGATCACAAATTGTCAAAAATGCTGACCTCCTCGACCAGACCCCAGGCACTAACAGTGCACTTGGAGTCCCCACTTTGCCTTTGGTCTGTCTGCATCTGGCTTAAGGTACCTAACATCCATTCATCCCTGACACAAGCCTGTGATGTCTGGGGCCCAGAGATGGACCAGTCTGTCCCTGTGGAGCCACTGCGCCTGGAGAATCATGAAGGCTCTGGGTTGGACCTGGTGCTGCGTGTTCTCAGGGTGAAGAGCCCCCTCCTGAGGGCGAAGGAGATGAAGATGAGATCGCATAGCTGGAGGCCCGACGTAGGGTGGCTGCTCAGTAAATGCTAGTACGTTATTCCATCCCAGCACTGCGGAGTCCTGTGCTAATTATTCCCATTTTATAGATGAGGAAACCGAGGCTGAGCAGGGGTGGGAAATTTGCGCCAGGCCCCACGGGTCAGTAGATCTCAATGGTGGTAGAGCCAGGTTTGAATCCAGCCCTGCTAGATCGCAAAGTATTTGTTCTCAGCTGCCGCAAACATGGCGGCGGGGGTCGGGATTGCTCTTTAAACAGAGAAGGGTCTAGGGTCCCTGGGGGCTAAGGTCACGGGGCTGGGGTCTGGTGGAGCGGGCAGAGCTGGGTGGTGGTGGCTCTGCACAGTGTGGGAGGCAGATGAGGGAGCCCTGGAAGGGTGGTCTATTCCAGTCCTGGGATGCGGTCGGAGCAGGCACGGGGGTAGGCTGCCCCAAGATGGGGTTCAGCTGGGTGACTGGTGTGCAGGCAGGAGGGGAAGGCAGAACCTTGTCCTTGTCCTGGCAGAGCGATCAGGGCATCCCTAGGGCCAGTGACACAGCTGAGGCGGAGAGCAGGGTGACCCCTTGCGGGTCAGGCAAGGTTCCAGGCATGAGGATGCGGAGGTGGCAGGCAGGGGTCCAGGCTGGCCCTGCGCTGGGTGGAGGAGAAAGGCCGAACCGGTGGAGCTGTACTCGGGGCCAGGCCCTGTCCCAGGGTGTCCCTATGGGAATTACCTGCTGAACCTCATGGCACTCTGAGATGAGAGCTGTTTTTATCCCCTTTTACAGGTGCAGAAACTGAGGCATAGAAGGGGTTAGTTACTTGCTGAGAGCCCCCAGCTCCTAAGTGGAGGGGTCAGGGTTTGAACCAAGGCTCCAGAATCCGTGAGCTACGTCCTCATGAAAGATGCTTATCCGAGGGGGGTTCCAGAAATGAAAGCTGCAAGACCAGAACGTACTCAGGGCGCGTGTGGCACTCGGTGCACCCGGCAGCTGCCAGCGGCGATGACGATGGTTATCCTGTAGGTCAGGCAGAAGAATCAAGGCCAGTCGAGGTGGAGTGTTCAGAGCTGTTGGTAGGATCTGTGTATTTTGCTATGTAGAAATTATACCCCAAGCTACACAGATCCCGGGGGACCGGGCCAGCCTCTCGAAGTGGCTGAGGGTTTGGTGCGGGCAGCTCAGGGAAAGTGTGGGGACAGTCTGGGGATGACTGGCTGTCACACACTTGATCTGGGGAGAGCTTGGGAGGTGTGGCCTTTTACCACGTGGGGCCGCTGAGCTGCCCAGGCCTGGGGAAAAGAGATGTCATCTTTGGAGTCTCATGGCTCTGTTCTCCACGTGGGGCCGATTAAGGGGCTCTCCAGCTGGAAGCAGCAGCACCCAGTTGTAATCTTGCCCCCACGAGACCCCCCAGGCTAGGCAAATAGGGCCCTGGTGGGGGGCAGAGGCCAGGATGAAGGACCCACCCTGCTGCCTTGGGCATAAGCAAAGGCGGTGCTGGCACGATGCGCCTCCCAGCCCAGCAGGACTCCCGGGCAGATCTGAAGGAAGACTCACAGTGCCTCCCTGGCTCCTCAGCCCAATATTTAGGGTTTAGGGCCAGAAACTCCCCCAGGGCAGCCTACCCTGAGTTGGTTTCATTCAGCTCAGCCAACGCTGGCTGGGAACACCCTGCTCTAGGCCAGTGTGCGGAGGCTCTGCTGCCAGCAGTGAGGCTGGCACGTGCTTGTTAGGGAGGCTGCGAATGCACAGGCTCGGTCCCTCGCCGGCCTGGCATTAGTCCCACCACCCCCCACGCTAGCTGGGCGACTTTACCTCTGTGCCTTAGTTTACTCATCTGCAAAATGGGGATGTTAGCACCTACCTCATAGGTGTGGTGAGAATTAAACGAATTAATATTTGCGAAGTGCTTAAAGCACAGGGTAAGTGCTCAATCAAGTGACCCATTGTCACTGTCATCATCACCGTTTTACAGATGAGGAAGCAGAGACTCAGCGAGGTGAAGTGGCTTGCCCAAGGTCACACTGTCAGGCAATGGCAAAGCTAGGAAATCGCCCTAACTTCATCTGGCTCCAAAACTACCCCCTTTACCCACAGCCAGACCCTAGGCAGAGTGTCACAGTGAGCTTGCTGATGGCGTCCCACACCCCGCCTGGACTTGCACACTCTTCCCCCGTGCACACCCTTGCCAGCACTGCCGTCCAGATGAGATGGGGACCCAGAGGGGAAAGGCAGACATCCAAGGCTCCTCGGCAGTGCCGGCAGGGCCTGGGGAGGGAAGTGTCGCAGTTGTGGGCAAACGGCCGTCTACTCAGACGGGCCTGCGTGACGGGCGCCCACGCTCCGCCCTGGGAATGCTGTTCTGTTGGCAAACACACCAGGCTTTCTAAAGGGCATTCAGCTTTCAGCTTGGGTTTTCCAAGTACAAAGTGAATTATTTTTCTGATGAAACAGAGAAGAGCCTTACAGATTAGCGTGTGCACAGCCAGGGCTGGGGCCCTGCAGACCACCCGTTCTACTGCCTGTTGTGCAGGGGGTGCATGGAGCCCGGCCTTGGCCACCGTGGCTGGACGGGCATGCCGGGAGCTGGAGAAATAAGGTGTCCTTCGAGAGGGCCTGCTCGTCCCGGCTCGGTGCTGGCCCAGCATCGCCAATTTGCTGGTAGGGAGGCTGAGGCCCAGGGAGGGCTTTAGGGAGACGGCCACCTCCTGGTAAGCAAACTGGAACCAGAGCCTGGGCCTCCTGGCCTCTTCCCCTGACAGCCTCCTTACTGGGAGTGGTACGGTGAGCGTGTGCCAGACCTGACGTCGACGAGAGACCACGGGGACCCCCGTCCCCCTGTCCGCACAGTAAGTGCCACACTGCTCTCTTGTGCCCAGTCCTTTGGTCCTCCTCACAGCAGCCTCCTGGAGCAGGGACCTTGAGCGCCATTGTACAGACCAGGAAACTGAGGCTTGGAGAGGCCCACGGGCCTTTGCCCAAGGCCGCACATGGCTTAGTGGCAGAGTGGTCATCACCACCACCCTGGGTGTCTCCTCTGGACTCCTTCCTATTACTAGTGCTGAGGTGCAGTGGATGGGGCGGGCCGGAGCCATGACCTCTCCAGGGGGGGTGTGACCTGTGGTGAAAGGACACAGGTTCCAGAGTTGCCAGCCGGGGTGCCAATCCTGCCTCTGCCACACCTCTGCGGTGTGACGCTAGGACGATGACCTCCCCTTTGCTTCTTCCTCTGTGGGGGAGTCTGTGAGATGGTGGAAGTGAGGCTGGCATGCAGCAGGTGCATAATTCGTGAGACACTGGCCACATTCCCCTCCACCCTTTTCTGTTCTCATTGCCTCTTTGACCCAGAAGCAAGGCAAAGTCATTTCTCCATCTCTAGTTTGGGGCGTCCTTTTGGGCTGTGGGGGCAGCCCTTTTAGGTGAGACCCGCAGGCCAGGTGCGCCCGGCCCTCACGCTCACAAGCCTTGGGCTTGAGCCCCCCTCCGGCCCCCGTGGCTCCAGGCTACTGGCTGGAGAGCTCGCACGGTCTGTTTAGCCTAGGACCCTGCGGCACACCCCAGGCCTGGCTTCTGGGATGCAGGGAGCCTCCCTGGGATGGGGCCAGGCTGGTCACGGTCTCCAAACTGTGGGAGGACAGCCATCTTCCCTCGGGGAGGAAGCCTCATACGGGGAAAAGTCAGGCCTGGACTCAGATCTGTGTTTGGATCTAGGCTCTCAGTGACTATGGGCAAATAACGTCATGGCTTAGTGCCTCAGTTTCCCCCTTTGTAAATGGGGGTGACAGTCCCTTCCCTCCCTGGGCTGGGTGAGGGTACAGGAGGCCAGGCAGGTAAAGCACCAGCCTGGGTCCCCTCACACCCAGGCCCAGCTGGAAATCCCACCCAGAACTCGCAGGCCACCCTGCTGGTCCTGAGAGGGTGGCCCGCCTTAGAAGCCAGTTATCATGATGGGTACATGCACAGGCCAGGAGCCAGGACAACAGACTCAAGTCCCACTCCTGCCCCTACTCTCCATGTGACCATGGGCAAGTGACAGCTCTCTGTGCCTCAGTTTTCCCACTTGTAAAATGGGGAGCACACTAGTGCCAGCCTCACAGCATGCTTGTGGGGACGAACGAACCTGTTTGAGCCACAGAGCCGCACCTAATGCTCAGCTCTTCTGTTGCCAAGGGGCAGAGGCTGTGGACAGTGTCAATCACCAGCCTCCCTGTCACTGAGCCTGCAAAGTAGCACAGTGAGTCCTCACTTAACGTCATCCATAGGTTCTTGGAAACTGTGACTTTAAGCAAAACGATGTGTAACAAAACCAGGTTTACCACAGGCTAATTGGTATAAGCAAGCGTTAAGTTCCTACAGCGTATTTCTGGCTACAAAAACATCACCAAACTTCTAAATAGAGACCCAAAATACTTCTTTTTTTTTTTTTGAGACAGAGTCTCACTGTGTTGCCCGGGCTAGAGTGAGTGCCGTGGCGTCATCCTAGCTCACAGCAACCTCAAACTCCTGGGCTCAAGCGATCCTCCTGCCTCAGCCTCCTGAGTA